GTATGGACACCAGTTCTAATCCCGGCAGCTCACTTCCCATCCAGCTCCCTGCTTGTGGCCTGGGAAAGCAGTTGAGGACAACCCAAAGACTTGGGACCTTGCACCTGCGTGGGAGACCCAGAAGAGGCTCCTGGCTCCTGGCTTCAGATCAGCTCAGCTCCAGCCATTAAGGCCACTTGGGAGTGAGTCAGTGAATGGAAGGTCTTCCTCTCTGTCTCTCCTCCTTTCTATATATCTGACTTTCCAATAAAAAAATGAAACAAATCTTTTTTTAAAAAAAGAGTGAAGCATTCTTTGAAAGATGGGAAAGCCATTGAGTAACATCTCAATGTATTGGGTAGGAGATGCTCCTTCACACGGTGCAGCACCTGGAGCAGAGCAGCGACGGGGCTCACGGATACAGAATGACGTTCATGAGATGATAGCCTATATGCATATGCAACGATCTTGGAGTAAACTGTCAGCTGGGAGTCCTCTGCTTGGCCTGGATTCTTTCCACTAGCACTTTGTCAGCCACACACCCTTGGCCCAGTTCTGGCCCTAACAGACATTTGGGGAGTGAATCGGTGGATGAAAGATTTCTTTCTCTCTCTTCCCCTCTTTCTGTGATTCTGAATTTCAAATAAAATAAATAGATCTTTTAGAAATTATGTTGTGATCATCTGAGAACGTGTCCTTGTTTTAGGGTGGACTATGTCAGCCAGTGGATTCTGGAGAAATTTCTTTGTGCTTGAAATGGCGAGATTGGCAGCAATTCAGAACTGTTGAACTATTGAAACCACTTGAGCAGTGCCCTTGGAGCATGTCCCATGTCGGGGACCGTGGGATGGGGTGGGAGGTCTGGTGGGGTTTCTCCTTTAATCTTTCTCTTTACCCCAAATACACACACACACACACACACAAAAAAGTGGAAACAATGGTCTTACCCACTTTCCTGCAACCCTCGACCCTTTGTACCCTATTCAACTAGGTAAATATTAACAAAATAAAAGGAAAAAAAGGGACGTCACCTGATAATTTGTGCATCATGACAAGATAGGAAATTAATTGTCTAGGTTATAATACATATATATATGCATGTATATACACACATATATACACATGGATAATTATACACATGTTCATATACAATTGTGTATAGAGAATAACAATTGTGGCAAAATATTAGCAAATGATTTAGGTAAAACTATAAAAAGATCATTCCACTGCTTTTTCAGGTTTAGGGTATATTTTTAATTGATTGATGGCTAAGAGAGTTAAACAACTTGCCAAGCTTCACGAAGCCATTTGAAGGAGTGGAAACAATTCTCTCCTGCCTTTGTCCAGGACTTGCTTGTGCAAGAATGCAGGTAAACCTGAGGGATCCACCCGAGCCAGAGTTCAGCGTTTGACAAGCATCATTTAAGTGACAGAATGCACTTGTTTAATTTCTGTGCTTTAGTCCAATCCTTTGTCCTTGACATGTGCTAACTGTTGCTGTTCCTTTAGGTATCATCACGCTTTCCATCAGCATAACTGTGTCACTCACCATTGAACTTGAACCCATTTACCAAGCCTATCACTGTTATCAGTTTCATCCAGGGATGGGAAAGCTGCAGTTCCCTGATGAGTCAGAATTCTATAGAGCTTCACTTGGCTGCACTTTTGGGGCAAAATCCCTGGTCTTTAGATAATAGATAATTGAGTTTACCCTGAGGCTTCTAGGTTTCAGAAATACACAGCATTTCTATGTGTGTTGTTTAAATAAGCCTCTTAGCAAGCTGTGTGTGTTAAAACAAGAATGCTAACTCAGGAAGAAAAAACAAAAACTCCCTTCTACCATCTAGGAGTGATGCGGTTATTATTTGTTTGAAACTTCAAGAAAACAGATGAGCTGCCATGAAATTTAGTACAGAGGCAGCCAGGGAAATAAAAGCACCAGTAAAAGCAGCAGACTTGATTTCTTTTGTATTGCTGTGTTGGAATAAGAGCCACATGATCAAAAATCTTAATATTCCTCCATGAAAAATTTAACTCTATTTTTAAAGATTTGGCACTTGCATTCTTTTTCCTTTACAATACATTAGCAAAGACCCTTGGGTCTTACTCAACTGTTCTAGCACAAGTATTCTGCAGTCTCAGGAGTTTCCAAAGTCTCATTTCTTAGCTCATTTTCTAAACAGCAAACCTGGTCCTCCTTTCTCTCTCTCTCTCTCTCTCTCTCTCTCTCTCTCTCTCTCTCTCAGCTTACTATTTAAGTCAGCTGCCATCTGTTACATCAAAAAAAAAAAAAAAGAATAGCTTTCCTGAATGCAGCTGGGGAAATCATACAGATCAGAGAACAAACTATGAATGAATCCCCCCTGCCCCTTCTAATTGTCTGAAACTTGGAGCCTCAGTCTTCTTAACTGCGAAATGGACATCATAAACGTACCATAGGAATGTAGCAGCAAAGAAAAGAGGTAACATATGTAATGCAACAACAGCAAATGAATCTTGTAATTAATACTACAATTGCTCACTACTTCATTGTGGTTTGCAATAATATTATTTAAACATAAGTTAATAATAGGCACAACCTACCAAATGAAGAGAAGTATTAATTAAAAATCTATGTTTTGTACAAGATTGCTTCAAAAAGCTTATGGATAATAGAATTAAAATATATTTAAAAATAAACCTGATGGGGTATTGTGAAGCAGTGGTTTAAGCCATCACTTGGGATGCCTGTAGCTCATCTTGAAGTGCCTGAGATCAAGTCACACTACTGTTTCTGATACAATGTTCTGATAGCGCAGCTGGGAGGCAGCCAATGATGGCCCAGTACTCAGGTTCCTGGCACCATGTTGGAGGTCCAGATGAAGTACCTGGCTCCTGTCTTCAACCTGGACCATTCCTGGCTGTTGAAAGAAGGCATTTGTGGAGTGAACCACCAGGTGGAACTTCCATCTTTCTCTTACCACCCCATCACTTTGCCTTTCAAATAAATAAATGGAAATACTCTTCTTAAAAAAATGATAGATTTTTCTGAATATGCATGTCCATATACATGAATTTCAAAATCTTGTTGTATCAAAATAAATTTTTAAATTCCATTTTCCAAGAACATTTTGAAGGAGCCTTGTACATGACAACTCCAAAATGCAGTCTAACTCCAACAAAAATCATCAGTTTGTCATAATCTTTAAAAATTAAATGGTAACTATTGCTAATGAAAAGTCGATAACATGAGCCATGTGATAAATGAACAAGACATTTGGTTAGTGTGTTATCTACATATCTCAATAGAAAGTACAAGACACAAATAACGCTATTCCCAAGTGTCATATCCCCATGTAGTAATTTACCAAAATGCAGAGTTTTGATCCCTACCAAAGAAATCCTAAATTGGAGTCTCCAGGTGAATAAAACAATAACTTGTATGCCCACCAGAACTCTGGGAAACCAGTGTGTCCGTTACATTTTGATAGCTGTTGCTTTATTTTTAAATAAAGAAGTAATGCCATGGTTCTTGCTTTCTCATATTCTGACATTATGCTAACTAGACACACTGTGATAAACATGTGTATTCACTCATTGGAAAGAAATCAGATAATAAAAGCACAAGTCTGTGATCCTTTGTGCCTTAATCAACTATGTAAAGATTATCAAAATAAAATAATTTTTTTAAAAGTATAAGTGTGAAGCCATGACCTCTGGCATCAGAAGGGATAACCCACCCTGAACGTGGCCAAAGTTCAGCCAAGTTGAAAAGATTGCTAAGTCACGTATGAGAATATGATCTGTGCCTATGTGGTTCTAGCGCTTGAGTATTGAAGCCCCCACTCTAAGATTAACCTCACTGCAACATAGAATGGTTTTTAAATTAAGCACTATTAATGCTTTTCATGATTTTTGGCACTGGCATTGTTAAATAACTAGTTAAGCTGCCACCTATGACACCTCCACTTTGGATGCTGGTTTCAGTCCCAGATGTTCCACTTCCACTCCAGTTCCTATCAATGCTCCTAAGAAATCAGTGGAAGTACTTGGGTCCCTGCATGCACTCGGGAGACCTAGAAGAGGCTCCAGCTTTGGCTATGCCTAACAGCAGCTGATGACTATTGCCATCCATATGGGTCATCTAGATGCAGATCCTGGCTCTTAATGCTTCAGTCAGGCCCAGCTATAACTGTCGTGGTCACTGGAGAGTAAACCAGTGGAAGGACGATCTCAGTTTCTCTTTCTCACTCTCTTTTTCTCCTCTCCCTTACATTCTCCCCTGCCCTGTCCTTTTCTCTACCTTTAAAATACAATAAGGATAATTTAAAAAATAAGACACCTATATGTTACTGCTGGGTTTTCTTCACTGACTTCTCCTACAAGGTCAGGCTATAATTATAGCACTCCAAGCTCACATGCATTTGGTGTCAGACCCAAGCTAAATTATTGCTGAGCATACAGGAGTCAATGAATGGGTATCTGTTAGGTGAATATGTTTTTAAGATTTATTTATTTATTTACTTACTTATTTATTTATTTATTTACTCTGTCTACCCAGGCAGCTGCATCTGCCAGGGCTGAGCCAGTCCGAAGCCAGGAATCATGAGCTTCTTCCACATGAATTTTTGTTTTTAATCAATGCTTAGCTGGAAAGTTTTACTTTTCCATTTATACAGTTTTAGAGGACTTTTACATCATCACAAATAAAAAGATTCAGCAGCATAAAGAAAAGCAAATAGGTTTTGAAATTCAGGAACCCATGGGTTTTCATACCATTTCTAGTGCTTTCTCACCAAAGAAACCACGGGTAAGCTATGTGGTCATTCTCTATTTCTTCATCCCAAAAAGCTTTGCTAGGCGACAATTAGATAATAGGAATATCTCCCAAATTCAGAAGGTGGTAAAAAAAAGTGCACGTATTGCCTGTGTTGCTGGTTATGAGACCACCAGCAAGGTTACACTCTTCTTTACTCTCTAAATGACTTTTCACTGTGAATCACAAAGCTACAAGCTTGTCATGGTAAGCAGCATGTACTTACAGGGTCTTCAAATTCTTGAGTTTCTTGAAGGCAGCAGCTGGAATCTCCCTTAGTCTGTTGAATTGCAAGTCTCTGGGAACGTGAAAAGAGGAGAACATTACAATATGTTGATTCCCATTAAAATAGTACAAATGCATGTCACACACTGATCATAGATTTTTTGTTTATGGCAGATTTTGCATCTTTGGTGCCCCACGTTAGCACACAAATGCAGGGTTCCAGATTTTGGAGACACCTGGGGAGCACTTTGCAGTACTCAGACCAACAATTTGCTTTGCACCACTTTTGTTCAAAAGCAAAACAAACTCTCTATATAACAACAGGCCAGCTGAGTGTATTTTGTTTGTTACATAATATTTACACATCAAATGTTACCTCTCAATTCAACATAACACCCATTCTTGAGTTTAGCCAAAGCTTTGAGTTAGTTCACTCTTCCTTGGAATATTACAGCTTTCCAAAGAATACGAAAGCAAGGCAATGAAACAACTATCTTGAGAAAGATGCTTCTCTACAACCAACATGTCCTTTGATTAACACATCAATTTGTAAAATAAGTGTTACATATAATAATAATAATTAGGATACAAAATTGAGCACAACAGCTCCAGGAGGAATAAAAATCATATTGTCATAACCCTGGAATGCATACTATCTGTGAGACCACAGCTGAACACACACAGGTTGTGCACAAATAGTGGACTTCGGTACTGGTGTGCCCAGATTGTCACTTCAGTGAGAGAGAACCAATTTCTCTGCACATTCTCACCATGAAATAGGTGCCAACTATGTTATTGTCTGGTATATAGTTGAAAATTCATGTGCAACTTGTAAACTTAGAAGTTGTTCTTTCTCCCACCACTTGATTCACGCATCTTCATGAGATTAACCTCAGAATCCTATCATTTTATGTTTCTCTTGACTTCACCTTGGCAGAACATGCACAACTTCATAAGAGCTCTTATTTTTTCATAAAAAACCTTAAATAGCCCAGTGATTATGTGTCCTTGTTAGGTGGAATGCCCTGCTTAAAGATCATGTTTTAAGGAAACTTTTCAAGGTATATCATATCATTCCTCCTTACAAAATAAAAATGGAGTCATGTGAATCCAAATACCCAGAACCATTGATTTCCCTTTTTTAAAAAGGGCAGATACAATTGATAATCACAAGAACTTTCCTTTCAAATTAAACCACAGATCCTAGTCATCTCATCATGACCAAGTTCCAACAATACATAAAGAAAGTAAAATTAAGGGATACATTATTTGATTTCTTTCAGTTTGAAGTTTTTGAAAAAAATCAGAAAAGTACAAGTGAGAAAATAACAATCCTTTTGGTCCATATCCAAAATTAACTATTTATATTTTTATATTCTTAATCCCACAAAATTCTATTTTTATCAGTCAAAATGTATGTAGAAACATATATGTTAAAATAAACCCTCTTAAAATACCATTTTAATATTAGCTTTGCCTCCTCTCCATAAGTATAACCACTTGTATGATTTTCACCATGTGTACGTGTAAGTACAAATAAATATAAGATGAAATACAGAGAGAGAGAAATTTTGAAAATAAATACAATGTGGAGGTAAAAGAAAAATACATAGTATCTTTAAATTTACAAAAATGGCTCCAAAGTTTACAGGGTTCTTAAAGCTTTCCTGGTCCTCGTAAAACTACATTCTTCCCATGGTTCACTCCCCAAGCGGTACTCATGGGGTCCTTTGTTTCACATGAAGATCTCAATATTTATCCTTGATTCCTCTACAGAAGTCCACAAGGCAGACAGAGAACACATATCTTATATATTTGCTCACTAACCAAACTTTTAAGATTGTCTCCAATTTTTTGCATACTCATTCACCAGCAATATTGCAATAAATGTGTGTGTTGGTCTCCTTGTGCACAGGACAAAGTGTTTCTCTAGGGTAAATATCTGGAATTGGAATTGCTAGATCATAGGGTGTGTGCATCCTCAGCTTTATAAAATAATGACAATTGCAAATTTATTCACAACCAGATATGTTAAAGCAGCGATCTAATTCATTGAAATCCTGCAGTAAGACACTGGAACTAATCACCAAATTATAAATTTAAATTTATTGCTGGATTGATTTGTAAGTCAAGTTAATTAAGTGTGTTTACTGCCAGAATTCTCTCCTTGCATTCCTTCATGGGTAAATAAAACATGCTATCCCATCAGAATTCTCCTTGGATCAAAGAACATTCAATGAGGTATTGTTCCACCATGCGCTGTTTTCAGGACAGAAGCATTTCCTGGGATCTCTTCCTAAGAATCCAAGTGGAATCAGAGACCCACAGACTTGCTTCAAATGACTGAAGTTGTAGTTAAGCATATCCAACCCTGCTCCAATTTGTATCTCAACACATGACCTTTGGCTGCTGCGTAAGACCACATTAAGCACTTCAGTGTATTATGAACTGAAAATTTAGGGAGAGGTTTTCCTGTTCAATTTATTTAATTTTTAAAAAGCATTTAGTTAGTTGAAAGGTACTATTTCTTTTGCTTTTTAAAACATGTATTTGTTTATTTGAAAGAGTTACAGAAAGAGAAAAAGATACTCCTCTGCAGGTTCACTCTTAAAATGACCACAATAGCCAGGGATGAGTAGATGCCAGGATCCAGGAGCTTAATTTGGTCTCCTATGTGGCTGCAGGAGTTCAAGCATTGGAGTCACCATCTACTGCTTTCTTATGAGCATTGCCAGGGAACTGGACTAGAGATAAAGCAGCCAGGACCTGAGCCAGCACTCACTTGGGATGCTAGCAAACCAAGTGGCAGTTTACCATGCTGTGCTACAATGCTAGCCCCATCCATTCACATGTTAATCCCTGCACTTTGAAATTGCATACAGAGTGCTATATGAGGAAACACATACAATAGGGTAAGAATATACTTTAATATCAACTTACTAGAATTCTAATAACCACCAAATTTCAGTAGCACTGTTTCCTGTGTAAACAAGTATGTGCAAAGATACAGTGCATATTCCCACACTGCCACTCTTTTACTCAAAATGAGTCACTCATAAGGTCCCTGATACAAAAAAAATCTATCATTTATTTAAAACTTCCTTTAATGTGGAATAAAATTGTCATACTTCTTGCATCCCACTCTGATATAGATAATACAAATAATATTTACAATAATAACAACCACAACTGAGCACAATTGTCATCCCATTTATCATTCATTGGAACTCAATGAACTAACATAAAAAGGGCACTTACTAAGGGCAGTAACATGGATAGTTTACCTGCCCATCTATCTCCCCTGCTCTCCTCCAGTCAAAGCTGAAAGGCTGAGGAAAAACTGTTCCTTGCTCTTCAGAAAAAGAAGTTTGGAATCAATGTTTCTAACCAATAAGACATGAGTTGATCTCAAGCTCAATATAGACAATTATTCTGGCAAAAACAGCTCACAATGGCTCCACTCAATGAAGGTCAAACATGGACAGACAGCAGTGTGAAAATCAGTCCCAAAACAAGTATCACAGCCCACGTAGTCTTTTCAGTAACAACACACACCTGACCCACATTAGCTCATGATACAGCCTTGCCTTTGGTACATGGAGTTCAGTGGAATAATTACTTTGCACAGGTGGGAAGATCCAGAGCAAAATGCTGGCAGAGCATGCCAGAGGCCCTGGCTTTCACAGACCCTGAAGTTCCTGGTACATTTCAGAGCACACACTAATCTCCCTCACCTAGTTGCAGTTTGATTTTCCATAGTTTTGGTTACTGAGAGTTAACCATGATCTGTATCTATTAATGGAAAATTCCAGATATAAATAATGTATAAGTCGTAAACAACTTCAAGTACAATATGCTTTTATAATTATTCTACTGTATTGTTAGTTACTGATGCTCTCTAGGCTAGAGTCATAAACTCCATTTTATCATAAGTAGGTCTGCACTGGGAAAAACATGATAGACACAGGATTAAGTACCTACCACCTGTACTTTCATGCGTCTGCAAAACATCATGGAATGTATCAATAGGCAAGAGTGCACTGCTGCATTTATATTAATATTAAATAAATAAGCATATAAAAGGCAATTTTCTAAATGTGCCCTAATCACAAAATAATCTCAAGAATCCAAATTAAAGATGATATTAAATACTGTGTCAGATCAGGTGGTGGGGTCCAGGTTAGGTTGTAAAATGAATGTGTTCCTCTAGAATTAGCCAAGTTCTAGGACTGAACTCATAACATTATTAAGATATAAGATCCAACTTTGACCTCCTTTCAGAAGGTGATAGCAACTTATCTGACCCCAGTGTGGTGAGGGTCTCCTCATAATGTCCCAAGCTGAAAATGATCTTCATCTTCATTTTGTCTACCCAGTACAGCTAGGAATCTCGGACTCAGAGAGCATAAGTCCACTGAACTTCTAAGGTGTCATTGAGCAGGTTGGTATCTGTGTGTGCTGCTTGCTTCTCTCAGAACTGAGAGCTATTTATTCTGGCAGGAAGCCTACCTTCATGAGAAAATAAAACAAAAAAGAAAGATCAAGCAGGTCCATATCTGAGCCAAAAAAGCATTCCTGCGGAAGGTAGAGATGTGATTAGGTCACACTGATGGTGAAAAAACATGATGTGCAGAACGAAGTCCTTTCCTCAACTCCTGAGCTTCCACAGGGAGGGAGCAAGATGCCTCCAGCTCATGGGAAATGTGTTTTTTTCGGAAGGAGCTCAAATCTGTGTACACCTGTTGCAAGTGTCTCCTTGGAAGGGGAGAACAGAGAAGACTGTATGGCCAAGCCCTGTGTCTGTCACCTGACTTCAGCCTCTGTGCTCACCTGCCACCCCATCCATCATGTAGAGACATTGCCATTCTAACTTCTGCCTCAGCCATTCAATCAGGGAAAGAATCTGATTTCCTCCAGCTCTCCTTGCTGCCCCCAAACAAAAGCCTTCTCTATCTTTCTGTTTTGGAAATAGATATTCCAGGCCTGAAGCAGAGCAGATGGAGGACACACTTAGTGCCCACTCTGCCTGATCCCCAATTCAACTTCAAAGGAGGACAATGCAGCAGTCCCTCC